GGCAGTGGCTTAGATCTTTTGTAAGAGAATTTTAAGACTATATTGAAAGATATGGATCCCATTCCTGGAAAACAACGCATATACATACAATCACTTAGCAATGTGGCAAGCCATTTTAGAAGGTTCTCAGGCACCTCTGAGATCTATCCAGGCACCTCAGGGCAGGAATTCCTCTCCTGGGGGGAGAATCCTAAGGCTCCTTAGAGCATTAGTCAGCCTACAGCTTCCCTTGGCCTGACACATGAAAGGCTGCCTCCCTTCTGCAGGAAAGGCTTCTTGGGGGGACAAGGGGAAGAGGGGCCCTGGGAGAAGCAGCCCATTTCGCCATCTTCTGAGTGAACCTGGCAGACCCTGACGCCCTTCCTGGCTGAGGGCAGCCTCAGGGAGCAGGCATCTGACCCAGGCTGTCTGGTTAGGAATGACTGTGTTATCCAAGGCTACTGCAGGGGTGCATAAGAACATACTCACCAACACACTCTGAGGCCACTGGAGAGGAGGCAGCAGATGTGGTGGCCAAGGGTCCTGGTGGGGCTGGTGCCACTGCATCTTAGGACAGAGAAGGCCAGCAAGCATGGGTCCTGTGGTTGAGAGGCAGCAGGCGTACCCCCCACCTAGGGAGAGCCCGCTGCTCTGGCAGGAACATGCACTATAGAGACAGATGAGGAAGTGTGAATCCCAGCACTGTCAATTACCAGCTTGGGGACCATACCTTTTTGAGCCTCATTTTCCCTTTCTATAAATTTTGAGTAGTAATTTCTACTTCACAGGGCTTGTTTCAGAATGAAACACTGACTGTTTCTCCCACAGTAAACAGTTGCTAATACAAACATAATACTGGTTTTTTTATTTGGAAACAGGATGCCTTGGAGAATGCTTGAAACTTCTTTACCTATTTGAGGAGGCTGGCTGAAAATCAGGTGGATTTCAGAGCAAGGGTCTAGTGACAGAGGACAGGTTACTGTGTACACACCTGACCAGAGAAAGGCCACTGGGCACATGTGTTTTGCTCCATGGAGGCTGATTGCAGAGCACGGCTCAGGTGCATGAAACTGCACTGGGCAGGGAAGCCCTGAAACAGTCTCTTTCATCCCCAGGGCTGTTTTGCGGATCTGATGAGCAGGACTTAATGCTGGCGTCACCCAAGTGCACTCCGGTTGCTTTCGAACTCTACATGCGTGCGCCTGGACTGGTGAGTTTTGGACCTCAGTGTTCGTGTGTGAGTGTGTGTATGCATACATGTGCCCGTGTATACTTCTTTTGTGTTGGTAATAATCAGAATGTTGGTGAATAATTCATTTCCTCTGAGCTTGGGCACCTGGTTGCCCCTGGCAACAGCACGCTTGAATCTGCCAGTGCAGCAACTGGGCCCCCTGCTCCCCCAAAAACAAATCTGCTACCTCACCGTGATGCCCCTCTGCCAGATCCCAGCAATTTTGGCCATTACAATTTATGTAGCAGCAGTTTTTCTTGCTGTGGGAAGAGACTCCTCTCTCTGAAGCTCAGCACCCAATGTCATGTTAGAGGTGAGAGAAGGAAAAGCTGAAGAGAGGGTCTGATATCACTGACAGTTGTCCCTTCTTCCTGTCACCTGATTTGTTTGAAATTCAGGCCCTTCTCCCCTAAGGAATCTCTCTGACCACATACCACAGAGAGGTGGGGTGGGGTGGGGAGGGGAGACAGTAATTAAAGTTGTTGGCACAGGAAATTGTTACCTATCTGGAGTTTTTTGGTGGGAAGGGTGAGAATAAGAAGAATAAAACATAATTTCATTTATTAAAAGCAACAAACAAGGAGAAAAAACAACATTTTAGATGAAAGAAATATTACATTAGGAACAGAAGATCTATCTTTTTTGTTGTGTCCACAGCAAGTAAAGGTCAGTCAAAATTTTGGAGCCTTGATCTAATCCTGTGTGTCTGAAGTGAAGGGCACAGAATAAGGCTTTTGTTAAGACAGAGATGTTGAGTCATGAGCATATACCTGTGGGAGTGAAGGGTGAGCTCCTCCTTGAGAAAGTCTACCTAAAATGAAGGCACAGGCCCACAGGTAAGTAGCTGCTCGGTCCTGGGAGCATGAAACCACTCAGAGACCCGAGCTTCCACCAGACCTCAACCGTCTCTGCGATCTGGGAAGGCCTAGGCCAGAGGCAGCAGATGTGCCTTCTGTTCATCGTAGCCTGTGCGCCCAGGAAGCTTCTCTTCCTTTTTGTGTCCTTGGTCTTCTTTCAGCACTTGAAAAGACAGAGTCAGGCATAGAATTAATTTTACCTTGGCAAGGCTTTAGGAACCGGGCAGCTTTTTCTGAAGAAAATGTAGCCCTGGGGAGTCCCATCCCCAGGCAGCCATCTGTTCAGGTAATCAGGAGTGGCTGTGGGGCTCTGCCCCCCTGCCTCCAGCCTTCGGAGTTTGCAGCCAACAGGGAGGAAGCCTCTCCCTGGTGCTGGGACAGGACAGGCCCACACACTCTCCCTATAGTTGAGATCTGGATAATCAAGCCAAACTCTCAGGTCAGCCTTTATTGGCTCAAGGTTGTCAGTGAGACTTTTTCTCCCACAAAGGCCTTGAAGTCAGAGAGAAATCTTGTAATACAGAAGGTAGGGCTACAGAGCATATGAATTTGGGGCCCAGGCTCAGGCTGGTGATTCCAGGCCTATACAGGTGATTGGGTATATGGGTGTTCATTGGAGAATGGCACCTACATGCCCTCTGAGGGCCAAATATTGAGAAGCCAAGCTATGGACCTTCAAAGAATGACCCTTAGCCCTGAGGCCCAAGCATAGGGGAAAAACTTGGCTGACATCAGAGTGAGTATAGTGAAGAAACAAAGTCAGCTTACACTGAAAAGGATGTTCTTCCCCAAGGCTGCGGGGACATTGCCCTATGCAGTATGGCCAAACCCTCTCCAGTAACTCACATGTTACAGGAAACCATTAGGTTCACTGAAAGCAAGAAACACTTCTCAGCTTGTCATGCACAATGCCCCCTCGTCAGTGTGGGGGACTCTGGATATACACTGGGTGAGGATAGTGGGCTTCTGCCCCATTGTACCTGATGTCCACCTAGACAGAGAGGTTTCACTCACAACTATCCACACCCATGGGACAGAATTCAGCTCATGGATGCAGCATCAACAAGCACATAGCATTTCTTTACCCCAGAGAAGAAGAGGGTAGGGAGCAAAGTCAAGTTTTATTATTAAAGAACTTTAATCCAAATGATGATTTTTATTTGCAGTGTCTGAAGGCACAAAATTTACCTAAAAGGTAGGGAATAGTCTAAACAGAGTCATAAATTCAAAGAGCGAAGCATAAAAAAAAGATACATTGTGAGCTGACAGAGAAATCTGAGTTGGGAAGATTTTTTTTTTTCATCTAGAGATCTTGCTTGAATATCAATCATTTCCCCTCATGCCAAGGGTAGGAAATTTTAAAAATAAAATAAACATGGTGGAGAATAACACCATGAGGTAAGAGGTTTTTTTAATAAGCAGAACACCTTTCCCTCAAAGATGCATGCTCTACTTCTCTCTCACTCTCACACACACGTGGACAGACACACACACACACACACACACACACACACACACACACACACACACACACACCTCTCTTTTCCTGACACTCATTCTGAACAAAGCTGTCCATGAAGACACTCATGGTATACCCCAGAAGACAGGTCATCTCGAAAAAAAAATAGACTTGGGTGTGAGCTAAGGCAGTGAGACCAGAATTTGATTAAAAAAATAAAGATATATAAATATATATGAAAAACTGACCATCCAGGGCAGGACCTCAAATGTTGATGGAAAGAAAAGGAAGCCTGCTCTTCCTCAGGATGGGCGCCGCCCACCTCGCCTTACTGTGCGTGTGCACCTGGCTCTCCGCGCTCTGACTGGAGAAATGTCAATGGACCCCCTTGGTAGCACTAACATCAGGCAGTTCTTGGCTTCCAGGGATAAATAACATGATTATAAACACTCTTCTCCCCAGCGGCCTTTAACTGACGATGTGATGCAGCCGTTCCTTTCTGCTCCATCACAGCTCTTGGGACTTGAGGAAAGAAATCGGTCGTGGGCTAGCTCCCAGCCCCATAAACACATCTCTGGACAACTCTACAAGGCCATAGGAGAGATCAATAGGACTTTGTGTTTCTCCATGACCACAGACCTGGGCTCCCACTTCCCTGATTACTGCTGGGGGATGGAGCGGCGCCCCTCGGCCCAGGTGTGGGCCGGACTCTTCACCCCAGCAGGTTAGGAGCAGAACTGCCTTGGGCTTCAGAAGAGCTGAGGCGATGCAGCTCGGATTATTTGAATCACTGTGCGAATCACTGTGCTCCTAGTGGCTCTTTCTCTGCTTCTGTAGTTCCATTGCCGCAGGAAGGGCAATGGGAAGGGGCTACTGGGTTACCTAGCTTTGAGAAACGGAGCTGCCCAGCAGGCTCACCGGCTCGGGAGAGGCCTGGGAACTCCAGGAACTGTACGGTACTCTCCTGAGCGAGGCCCCTGTGCACCACCGCTTGAGGGCTTCTGGTCTGGAGGAGGCAGCAAAGTGGGGAGCCAGGAGGACTGGGCTGGGTCCTGGCCCTGTCTTAACCTTTGGGTTTAAGACCCAAAGACATCCCTCCACTTCGGAGCTACTTCCCCCAGGGAGGGGAATTACTTGTTTTCACATCACACACAGTTATGCCACGGCTTCTCTAAGAGCCAGGGCACCTTCCCACCCGAATGGACACTGTCCCTCTTTCCCATTCCCCATCACCTACAGCCCTAGTCGGATGACCTAGGGCACCACCCTCCACTCCTCCTTTCACTGGACTGTCCCTCTACCTGGCCATTTGTCCCACCACCTCACCTGGTCCGCACAGCACACCTCTCGGCTCCCTGCCCTGCCCCGACAGACAAGGCTAAGCCCACCTTTGCCCAGCCTCCTGAGGCAATGACGGGGCCTACCCTCCTCCAATACTGTCACCTGTTGATTCTTCTAATTAGGGAAAGAAAGTAAAAAACAAGGCCAGCAGGATGACCCCAGGCCGTGTTGGCATCAAAGCCTCAGATATGGTCACCTCATAGGGGTGCTTCTCCTGGGCCACAGGACACCGTGACATGCAGCTGGACGGCCAACAGGACTGTCCTGCGTCCTGGGAGCATCCTAAGTCCCAAGATGCCAGGAGCCGCCGATCACCCTACAGCACAATGACCCAGGGGCGGGTCGGTGCTGGCTCCAGTCTCTCTGGCCCAGGGAACTAAAAGAACAAAGGCCAGCTGCAGAGGAACGTGGCAGGTAAGTGGCAGAAACTGTGGGAGATGGCAGCGAGCAGCACTAGGGGCTCCGCATCTGGTCACTCCTCCTGCCCTCAGGAAGGCCCAGGACCAGGGGGCTTCTTTGGCACTTCAGAATGATCACAAGTAATTTGCCTTTTTATTCATATAGAACAAAATTTACAAAGTCATTCATACAGTTTTTGTGTTTTTTTTACTGACTTCGAAAATTGGGAATATTCAAAATACACTTTTAACCCCACTCCATTCTGTCATTATTTACATGTATGTACAAGAAAAATGAAAGAGTCTGTGTGTGTGTGTGTGTGTGTGTGTGTGCATGTGTGTGTGGTTTGTGTTGTTGTTTTCTTGTATTAAAAAGCTCTGCTGGTCGGGTGGGTGGATGGGTGGGCGGGAAGGCAGGCGGCGCGGTCAGATGGAGGTGCCGTGGGAGGTGTCCAAGGCCTCTGGGAGGACGCCTCCAGGCACAGGCTGGAAGGACATGGGGATGGGGGTCTTCACTGGGCTCTGGCGGAACAGCCCCCCATTGGGCGACCTGTGTTTGCACTGCATGGCGGGCATGGTGGCCGAGCTGCTGAGCGGTAGTGGCAGGCTGCTGCTGGGCCCTGAGGAGAGTGTCCGGCTGGTCCCATGGCCACTTTGCTCCGGCAGAAAGGTACTGACTGAGAGCTGGGTGTTCTGATACTCCCGCGTTGGCTCCAAGGCCTGGCTGGGAGCCAGGCCCCCCATCTCCAGGGCCGAGAGCTCAATGGATGCTGGGGAAATCTGCTTGTGAGCAATGTCTTCATCCATTAGGCTATTCATGCGTCGATGGACCTGCTCCAAATTCACCTCCTTGTCCTGGAGGGAAAGCACAGGAAGATGAGGCCAAGGTCAAGCCCAACATGAGCCAAGGCTGGCCTTCTACAAACTCTGGGAGCCTGGAGCCCCCAGACCTGTTCAGCCTGCTGGACAGAGGTTAGCATGCCCTCCTTTTTTCCCATCTCCCCTCAACTATATGGTCAGCCCTCCGTTACCCGGGGGACCAGCAGCCTAGGACACTGCCCTGAGGTGGCGAAGACCCAGCAAGCGGGCTTTGGCAGCACATACTCCCCTGCAAATTTGCTTAGAATTGCTCTCACACCCTTGGGGGAAGATACTTTGAAGAACTGAGAGACACAGAGGAGAGGAAGGAGTCCCATGGGAATAAAAGGGAATGGTCCTTAAGCCACTACAGTGGCCCATGCATTTAGAGTTTACAAGGCTCAAAAGCCTTAATGATCATTCCCCTTACACAAAAGGAGGCTCGGGTTCAGGAAGGTCAGTGACCTCTTGGAGTCACAACCCCAGAGAGTGGCAGAAGCAGCACTGGAAGCCTGGAGCAGTTCTTGGAGCAGGAAGTCCTGCCTCACTCCAAGGTACCCCCCACCCAGCCCCCAGGTGCAAAATCTCCAGAAGTGTCAGGGGATGGGGCAAGTCTCTGTCTGTAATGCTCAGGGTCCTGGTTCCTGGATGAGGATGAGGGGTGGGGACAATGAGGAAAGGAACATTCCAGGGGTCAGCTGACTTTTGGGGTATCATGAGGGCTTGAGGCTGCTGAGATGTGTGACCCTCACACCTGACTCTTTCTCCATATGGTGAATGGCATCAAGGAAATTGTTTTGTTTCTTCATTTGTTTATTTGCTTAAGAAAGAAAAAAAACAGAAACACGTACCATTCCTTTCAAATGACTTGATGCTTTGTGTACAATGTCAGAATAAATCAAGGAAGCCAAAACTGCTTGAAACCTCTTAAAAACAAAAATAATATACTCGACTTCCTGGGTTGTGCCATGTGAGATGGGGCATAAGACCAGGAGAACCTGGAGGAGCCACGCTGGCTCCTCAATGGGGTGCTAGAAGTTGCAGTCCTATTTTCAGGTGACATGAGGGCTAATGTGCCAGGCAAGGTCACGCTTACTGCCTGCACTTCCCTGATATCAAACCCCAAGAGAAATGCCAGCTCCACACTACAGGCCATCTAATGATGGCACCCATACAATAGTTGAAGGCAAGTTTCATTGGTGAAACTGGGGGAAATGGCTGGAGAGTACCAGGTCTTGACTTAGCCTGACTAAATATGATGTATTCAGTGTCTTTCACGGACTCCTTCAACAGACTGTAAAAAGTTTAACAAGCCAAATTCAAGTTCTCTTCTTCATTACCTTACAGCATGGTCAAGTCAACTCCATATAACCTCGCCCTTCTCTCTGTGCTTCATTTACCAGCTTTGTCATTATTATTGCACATGAAACTGTTTGTAATAGGTTTTCTTCACTGCTGCACTAGTCACTGGCTGTTGCACAGCCACCTACAGCACCAGCATGTCGGAGGGAGCATCAGTTCTCCCTTCCCGAGAAGACCACAGTTTATTTGGTTTGGGGAACTACTTCTTCCCCATTAGATTATCAGTTTGGCAGGTACCCTCTCCATATGTAGCCAAAGGCAGGACCATGACCCAAGTCAAGTGGTAAGATTGAGTATGAAACCTAACCAAAAAGATAAAGAGAGAGAATGGCTTATGCTCATCCATTTCAGCAGTAGGACTTCCACAAATGAGACTATCCTCCTGATCTTGCCTCCCAGCCCTCTGAATAAGCCTTGACTCCTGCCCATCACCCAACCTGCTTCCCCAGCCTTCTCATGGTTGCTATGTGCTCCTGATAAACCTCTGATACAGCTCTTTATCTCCATTAGCCAAAGACAGTGGTATGGCTGTGTTGGCAAATATCTAGAGACTATTCTCATTTCAAAATGTATGAAGAGCACAAGACAGGTATCAGAGAGTCTGGAAGCTGGAAATATGTGGAGAGAGTTTAGACACATTTGGGGCTTAATAATATAACATTCCCTTCTCTTTGCAGCCTGCAAAGGTTGGCAAAGGCTGGACAACCCACCAGCAGAGCCTTCAGCTTCCATCAGAGGAAAACTAATGACCAGCGGTCCTGGGATCACTGGAAGAATTGGTTAGTTACAAAATCTCCCCTTTTCCTCCTTTCTCTTTTCTTTGTAGGGCTTTAAGGATCCTTCTGGGGATGTAAAGAAGTACAGTTCACAAGCAGACTAATTTGGAGATGGAGGCAAGTGTTTGGTCCCAGTGTGTTCCCTCCTATTCCATCAGTTAGAAGAGAAACTCTTTTTCTCAAGTCTTTCAAACACTGGGCCAGGACAAGACTTCAGAGGATGCTCCCCACTTTGCTGGTGTTTAGAGATAGAGAAGGGAGAGCTTCCTGTCCAAGAAGGCCACAGGGAGGCAGAGAGTTGGGAGTTGGGGCAAAGTGAAAGGAGGTCCCTCTACATAATGCCAGGGAAATGAAGCATAAGAATTTCGGGGGGGACCAACCAACCAGAACCCTCTGAAGAAAATGTGATCAAAGGAGGTCTCTGAGATGAAAGCCTTCACCAGTGAAGCACTGGGTAAGGAGGTATGGGGGTGGGGGAGTAGGATTATTAATGTGCCAGGGCACGCGCACTGACCTAGCATACTGATCACAGCTGTGAGGAGTTGATCAGCCAATATCAAAGCATCCAGAATAAAGATCAGCCCAGGCTGTGGGTGTGGAGATGATCCAATTACCCTGGAGTCAGTATTTTGGGAGGAAAAAGCTTGAATCAGTAGTTTCTTAAATCTCTGTTTTTTTTTCATGCTTCAAATTAAGGACAAATGAAGCCATTCCAAGAAGGACTCTGAAGCTGTGCAGTGAATATCAACTTGTGATTGAAGTTATTCATTAGCGTGTAACCTCTCCATGTGAAGACAGAAAATATCCATACCTATTGAATGAATTTTTCAGGGAAAACTTCCCACCCCACACAGCAGTCAAGAAATTCACCCTCTCTGCGCCAATGGGACCTCAATCTATTCAATTGGTATTACTGCTGGTAGCTCCAAGGCAAAACCAACACTGGAAGGACAGGGTGTCATCATGAGCTTCCTGTATAGGTTGTTTAAAGGGACAGGAAAATGAGAACTAAGGCAAATATTCCCTGTGCTCTCTGGAAAACACATGCAGCCCATTTCTGAGTCTCATATGCTCTCTCAGTTGCCTGCTCCCACCACTCTCTAGGGAACCAGAGCTGAAGTTCACAGAACTGGAGAAAACCACCCTATTTGGAAATCCTGGACACACTCTCTTCCTGGCCCAATGGGGGCTGTGCGTTAGGTGCACACTAAGTCATGTCTGGTGGCCTCTGGCCAATGAAAGGGGAGGCAGGAATAATCTGCCTGCTCAAGGAGAGAGGCAGGAGTGATTTGAATAATTATCTATATTTTAGACAAAATGGGACATTCTATTATGTTATGCAAATTCAAATAATGGACTTTTTTATGTGAACTACATCAGTTTACATCCTCATTATCTCAAGGTTTTGGTGTTCAACCGAATGGAAACTTGCTGCTGTCTTCATTAATTTACTGTAGGTAACTGACCTAGTCAAACATCCCTGAATATGACATAAAATTCATTGACTGCATTTATCCATGAAACCGGCTGAATTCCAGCTCTGCGTTTCTCATCTCACATTAAACATGATGACAGATACACCAACAGAGGTTACTGGGGGCCCTCTCCCAGGTATTGTCTTACAGAGAGATAAAGTTCTGTAATTAAGCCACTGTTCACCAATGTGGAAATAACACAGTGTACTGGAAAATGGTGATTAACTAAACTATCATCTATCTAACAGCTGGTTACACATGGGACTCTTTAGAACTGACTTTGGTGTCCAATGCTTCTTACTTTAAGTTGAGCAGGACCAAAATTGGATCAGGGACTTCCCACTTGACTGGGATGGTTGTAGAGGTGTTTTTCCTGTTACCACAGAGACCACCAGGTGGTAAAGGTAAATGAGACCCCATGGACAGGAGAAATGCCATCAACATGATCTTCCTAAGTGCTGCTGCAATGACTTACTCAACCCCAAAGGGCTGGGCTGGATGGAGCTCGGAGAGTAACAGTTGGGTGAGAGCAAAGAAGCTGAAAGTTAAGTCAATGAAGTAGTCTCAGGAGATGATGGGCAATTTTTCAGAGCATCGTGGGAAAGGGTTCTGGAGGGCTCAGTCACAGATTTTGTAGGAGGGAGCTACACCTCCCATCATAGGTGGTAGCAGCCGAAGTGCTTGGGGGTAAACTGAGGGTAGGAGTGTAGAGAGCTGCTCAAGGTTACCCAATTCCATGGTAAGTGAAGCACCAGAAATAGAGTCTGAATCTAACTGGCTCCAAAACCTGGTCTCTTTTCACTATGCCAGGCTGTATGTCCCCACTTTCCCCTTGGAAGGATAGCATAGACCAGTGGTTTTCACCTTTGGAAGGATATCAGAAGCACAAATACATTTTAGAAATTACAGTTGTCCAGTCTATGTAAAACAATCCTTTGGGGAAGGAAGCCCAAGCTTCTGTATTTCTAAAAAGCTCCAGGATTAATCACCTCTGATATAAAGCCAGAATTCAAAGTCATCGATACAGCTGTAATGATTACACAACAATTTAACATTTATAACATTTTCTTTGTAGGAGCCCAGATTGGTTCATTCATTCAATAGACACTTTTGAGCTCCTACTACCGCATGAGCTGATGCTCTTAGTAAAGCATTTATTTTGGTCCCTGGCACACTGAAGGTGCTCAATACCTCACTTATACGCATCCCCCCTAATGAAAGGGTATACGTTGCAGAGATTGGGCAAAGTCGTGGGAATGCAGAGGCAAGGAAGCACCAGCACTCTTGGAGCAGAGGCAGGTGGGTAAACCGTTAGCAGCAACTCGCATCCAGTAGGAGTGGCCTGGAGAGGTGGAACAGGGGAGTTTTCAGAGGGGAGTTGTGTCTGAGCTGGATTTGAGATATACACTGGTGTATGGTAAATGTTGAGCATCTTCCAGAAGACAGGACCAAGGGCTGAAACACACACTCACTCTCCTTACCCTCACTCTAAGCGGTCTAATAGCAGCAGGACAATTGGACCAGGCTTAGCTCACTTTTCAGCAAGGCAAGAGAGCAAGTGGGGCTCAGAAGATGTAAATGCCTAGCTAGGAGCCAGGATCCTCGCTCAGGGAACTCTCAGTTATGCCTTGTATTCCCCAAATGCTCTGGAAAGTGCTACATGGGAAACCTTGCTCCTCTACACACTCCATGGAAGGCTTGGTGGCCTTCATTTGTACCCCAGTTCTGCCTCTGCTCCTTCTGAGTCTCAATTCTCCAGGGATAAGGATGCCTTCCTCAAATGCCACTGAAGAGAATCAGGAGAGTAAGAAGATAACATGTAATTTTTCTGGGAGAGAGAAGATGTTCTAAGATGTGACTTGTCTTCCCCACATCCCTACTGCCTATACCAGTAGCTTCCTGGCCACCATTCACTAAGCACGTCCCATGCGGCAGATGCTGTTTAAGGCACTTTGAACAGCTTCCGTTGACCCTCAGGTAACACTGAGGGGCTGACATAAATGAAGGGCAACCAGGTGCAGAGTCAGAGAAGCCTCAGAGGAGTGGAGGCAGGGAGGGAGTAGAGCCACAGGGAGAGTCCCAGCAGCAAATGTTCGACAGAGAGCAGGAGGCAGGAGCGTGTTGCAGGGACATGCATGCAAAGGCCAGAACAGAGCAGCTGGCTGCCAATCCCTGCCTCTGCTGGGCCGCCCTGGCCTCTGTCAGCCCATCTGCAGTGGGAGCCGGGAGTGAGGGAGGGCAGGCCTGGCAGGAAGCAACATGGTGACGCATCCCTCACTTCTCGTGTCGTCTCCCATTTGTGTAGTTCTCATCTTTATTTCATGAATATTTTATTCTCAGAGCAACGACTCCACTTGCCCCATAAATCCAGAGGGTGGCTCTTTACTGCCTCCCCAGAGCTGGTGTGCTCACCTGCACTGGGTGGCTACGTAATCGTCTGATTCCTTAGAAAAAATATGAGCTCAAGCCCACATGAATATTAAGGGATGGAACGCATATTACTACTCTTCCTCAACTAGGTGTCTAAACTCTGAAAACATCTCAGCACAGCCATTAAACACGACTAAGACTCCACCCCAAGACAGCTTTCTGACTCTGAAGAAATATGGACAGTGCCCCCAGATGAAGCATTCCAAGATTAACCAGCACTCTAACCTAATTACGAATGCTGCTCCATAAAACATGGGCAACCAGTGGTACAGAGTAGTTCCGGATTAAATGCCATCATTATTTGTGGAAGGTTTTAATGATATGCTTCTAAAACCCAGTTGTTTCACCCCTTTTCCTGGTTCCCATTCCCTGTGCAGTGAGGGCCAAACCCCGTGGCTGGGTGTCTAAGTCCTTCAGAGCAAGTCTCTGCTTGCTACTCCAGCCTCCTTCACTCACGTCTCCTCGCTGATGCTGACTCTCCAGCCCCGAAGAGCTCGGGGAGGTGTGATGACTTCATTTACCTAAGCTGCTCACCCTGCCCCAAAGCAGCTTCCAATCATCCTCAGGCCTAGGATTTGTGCCAATCCTTCAACACTCAGTTCTAACAACACTAAGCAACAAGTGCTCGTCACTGACCAGTAGCCCTACCCTCCGTGACCCCCCACTCCTGGCACGTCTGTTATAGGGATTGCTCACTTCAGGATGGCCCTGATCAGCAGGACAGACTGCTTGGCCAAGCTCTCTGCCCCAGCTGCCCAAGAGGAGGTAAGCTCCCTGGGGACACGGGCTGTGCCCGATAGGCATACTTATAAAATGAAGGAGAGGGAGGAAGATATTTCATCTGAGAATTAGAAACCCATAAAAACAGGAAGAAGATGGAATATTTCCTGCTGTTACCATGCAACCCTTTTTTAGCAATAGCAGAAGAGGCTTGAGAAAAAGCAGTTACTATGTTTCCCAAACTGCCTTGTCATTGGTCCTCACTCCTATCTGGAAGCAGGTCAGCAGCAGGGGCAGAAAGTCCCATGTTTTCTAAGCAGGACCCATGTATCTCATGAGGTCTTGGGCATGAGATCCTGGGCTTATGCAGAAGCCAGAAAAGAAGACAGGACGCTTTACTGGCAAGAAGAGAGCTGTTCCTTGCAGATAGGCCATCCCTTGATCTTTCCTGTGTTTCTCTCTTTGAACTCTGCTTTCTGTGCCTCTCCAGTGATTTCTGTCTCTGTGTCTGTCTCTCTCACACACACAGAAAGAGTGATCATTCATTCTGGGCTGTCACTAAACAGTAAACTAGGGGATGTGAGGACATAACGACTGGCAGCCGGCAAGGGCCTCCAGCGCAGGGGAAGGGTAGTTGATCCCTGTACCTGGCTCACAAAGGACCTTTTGGAGGGCTGAGCCTGTGTCCCCTGGGCCCCCGCTCTGCCTCCAGGGCTCACCCACCTGGACAGCCTCGCCTGCTCCCCTGACCCAAGGGCCTCTGCACAGATGAAACCAGGCTGCAGCCTCAGAAAGAAAGAAAGAAAAAAAACACAACTAAAAGCAAACAACATGGAGAGTGGGTGCAGCATGATCTGGTCCTCCCTGGTCCTAGAGAGGCAGCTCTAGAGCCACCCTCCCTGGCTGTACACTGGTGCTTGTGGGCACACAGGCCTGGGTGGCAAGAAGCAGGTGACAGGTGCCCCAGCCGTGACATGGAAGGGGAGTTGACAGGAGTTGCAGGCTGGAACTCAGCCACATCATTACAGTTTGGCCCTCATCACATAGGGAATAGGAACCAGGAGAAGTGAGATACTTGTGGCCTTCTTTCCTCCAAACCACTCAGAATAATTCACTGTCCCTCCCAATGACTTCTTCACAGAAGCCCAGGACAGGACCATTAACTGTTGCTCTCAGCAGGCTTTCCTCAAATCTCTTCCTTCCTTCCCTCTGTGGCTCAGGGGCAATAGGAAAACACGAAGGCTGTTGGAGCCCCAGGCCCAGCATCCCCTTGCATGTGGTTATCTGCCAGGCAGGAGAGGAAGATGGGTGTCCCCAGGATATTTGCAACATTCTGGCTCAAATGGCAAGATCCTTCCAGCAAAAACTAAGTGTGATGACAGAGAACTCACTGCTGGTATGAGTGGAGAGTCTGTCCCACCCCAACCCTGCCAGGGGCTCCAGGATGGACTGGGGTATGGGGCATCGCTGCCCCGGCACTCCAAACTACCCATATGGTAGCCATGGTGATGCCTCTGAATTTGGTGCTGGTTACTTAGCTGTCTCTTGTTTGAAATTTACACCTGTTTGACTCAACAGAATCTGTAAGTGGAGCTGTGGTTGCAGAAGTAGCTGAGGTGTACATAGCTCACAGTGACAGCCCTATGATGGAGTGGCTTGTGCCACCACACCTGTGCATGGGGCTCATCAATCTGTAAATGACACTCCTTGCCACCCTCCCTTAGAGGAACTGGATCCAGGGGACCTTGATGAAGCCTTCATATAAAAAAACTGAGCTCAAAAAAGAGCAAAACCCTAATGGAAGGACATGTCCAGGGCAGAACTAGCTCACGGCTGGCACACAGGAGGGGAAGCGTACCCAGAACCAGGAGTGTGGACAGAACCGCAACTTCCCCGAACTGGTGGGCACCAGAGGGCTGGACAAGGCTGCACAAGGCTGGGCCTGACCGGGAGGAGGGAGAGAGGAAGGGCAGATGGGAGGGGCAGGAGCAGGGGCCCATCCCACTTGCAGCTGGGAGAGCAGGGCCCAGCCTGGCAGAAGCCAGAGCAGCAGGGAGGAACGCATCTCCTCTCTTACCCTAGAGGTGGTCTCTCCAGGTCAGGGTGGAGGCACATGGGTGGGACAGGGTGGGGAAGGGCTCTCTGGCGCTGCTCATGCTGTACCCGCTCTACAGATAAATACAGGACTTTAGTGGCCATGGCTCGTGGCTTGGCGCTTTGTTCAAGTATGAAAACACCCCCTACATTTGCTCTCTTGCTTTAAAATAAAAAAAAACATTTACACCATCCCCCAATATAAAACACTATTGTCTCCAGACAGGTGACTCGGGTAAATGCTAACTGGAAGGAAACTGCCCGCCGCGTGGCCCAGTGTGACTCTCCTGTCTCTAGACTGTGAAAGAAGCAGGACCCAGGGCACGGACCTCTTTGGGAGTTTCCTGGTGGCACCGGTTGCTGTTCCACCACAACTCTAGGGCAGCCACCAGGCAGGCGAGGAGGAGGCCAATGGCCAGGATGCAGAAGACCCCGGCAAAGCTGTGCAGCTTGAGGGATTTGCCGTCGGCCTGGGCCCTGGAATGGCTGGTGAGGTCGCAGCGGCCCGTGTGTGGCCACCATTTCTGCTTGAGCACATCCAGGTCCCCAGTGTCCTGCAGCTCCAGGATCCTGCAAGATACAATCTGTATGAGCCAGAGCTGCTGGCCTCGCCACACAGCCATGGGGCCTGGCCCCCTCCCACCTTGCTGGTGCACAGACAATGCCAAGCTGTCATAGCCACTCCCGACCACAACTTCCCCCCAAGCCTGCTCCCCACTCTGCGGGTGGAGTGCTTGTCCCAAACTACAGGCTGGGTTTCGTCACTCCCCTCCTCCAAGCCTCAGTGTCCTCTCCCACCCCGGACCACTGCCCGTGGCTACAGTCCAATAGCAGAGCACATAAAGCCCTTCACACAGGCTCTGAGGCAAGCTCTGAGGATAACATCAGGAAATACAGCAATGGACAAAACAGACTGCAGACTTGACAAAAATGCTTTCATTTGAACTTCAGGTACTAGATCCTAAGTCTCTCCAATTAGGATTCACTACAGCACTCATTCATGCATCTATTTGAGGAGCATCTGCACTGTGTGAAGTTAAACATTGCTGAGAGTGTGGTCTAGAGACATATCCACGGGCACTGAAACAATCAGAGCAACCGGTGTGGGGACAGAAGCTGGGATCAGTACAATGAACTGAAAATAGAGATGCGAAGAACTGGTGTGTTGGGAGGGCGGCCCAGATCAGAGGCTTAGGGAAGACCTCATTAAGGGGGCGACAAGGTAAGCAGAAACATGAAGGATGGTTAGTCATAAGAGTTCACACTGGTCTAGCACATTCTGTGTGGCAAGGGATATCCTAACAGCTGTGTTCAAAATAAAATAGTGTTTTATTCTCATGTCAACTCCTTGAGATGGTTATTTCCATTTTCCTATATTTACAGAGAGGGAAATTGAGGCCCAGAGAGGTGAAAGATCTTGCCAAAGTCTCTGTGGTTGGCAGGGATGGCATTTAACAAGTGGGAAGAGGAAACTTCCTGAGACTGGGATCATGTTTGAAAGTACTGTCTGCATTAAGGGCTCAGCATGCCTGAAAAGCTAAAATGTGGCCAAGAAGGCTGCAGAGTGGTAGGTGAGGAGGACAGGGTGAGAGGAAGACAGGGAAGCAGGCAGCCAACGGCATGTGCTCTGAGAGAGCATGAGAGGGACTCTGGATTTTCTCCTGCTTGCAAACCCCCACTGCTCCTGGAATCCCCACATGGGTGTCTGGATGGCAGGTTTCCTTTGCTGTGGTGTTCTAGGGACTCCCTCTGGAACCAAGGAGCCTGAGTGGTGAGCTGGTGGTAGCTGGTAGCCCCTAGACTCCTCACACCCAAGCTTCTCCATTTGGGGAGAGGGGCTAGTTCAGCCATGGTGATATATCCCACCCACAACACCCACAGTGATGGCTCTGTGCCCTCTGGGTTGCACAGTTTAAGAGCAGTGGCTCCTTAGAGCCAGGAGAAGCTCACTGCCAAGTAGCCAGCTGAGCAGTCTCTGCCCTGGACCTGTATTACAGATCAGCTGTGACCACGGGCTGAGGCTGAGCTCAGTGACCATGCCTGGGCTGTGACTCGTGGAAAGGGACTGTGACAGCCCAGAGAGTCCCTGAACTATCAACATCATGGGCTCAGCACAGCATGGCCTCCCACTGGCTGGAAACAGCCTGGCTCAGTGCAAGAGCAGGCTTTGCAGGCACCAGATCTCAGCTGCATGTCCTGGGACAAGTGACTTGCTCCTGCAAACCTCACCTTCCCATGATCTTTGCTAGCCTTGCTATCTATGAGTGAGTAGATCCTTCAGGACAACGGCTATGTCCTACTCTCTGTGGTTTCCCCTGAGCAAGTACAGGGGCCAGCACAGCTTGGGCCATTGATGGATGTTTGTTGCATCAATAAATGTATAAGTCTACTAACTGAATCTGGAAAACTAATCTAAACTAAAATGGTTGTGGTGAGATCATGATATCCATTACATGGGCAAGGCATGGGTCAGAACCAAAGAGCCTGAATGCTGCCATGCATGAAGGGGCTTGGTTGCTGAGATAATGACTCACACATGCATCCGAGTGGCTCAGGGCTGGACTTGGTGTGCCGCTGTGTGCCATCATCCCTCACGCAGCACACCCCATAATAGTGAAGTGGCCACAGCATCCCACTACCTCCATGCGGCTAGAGATGTGTTCGGGAAGCTGCATGTCTGTATGTCCACTGGCACATGCAGACCAGCCATGCTGGCAGCTTTTAGTAGACTGGACCTCCTGCCAGCTACAGGAACCACAGGCCTGGAGATGCAGGATCTCAGGACCTGCGAGAAGACTCATGGCTGGATTACTGGCTCACCATGGAGAGACAGCAGAGCTATGTATTTATTGGCACAGATTCTACTCTGGTGGACATCGGTCCAAACCCAGACTCTGTCACCACATTAGCTACGTTATGAAACCTCTCAACTTCAGCCCTCTCATCTCTCATCATGAAAATCTGAGATCATAATAAATGCACCTACCTCACAGACTTATAGTGACAAAATGAAAAGAGGGAACACATGCAGATCATTCAACTCAAGATCTGACAAATAATAAGAGCTCTATACAAGCAGGTTAATAATTACACAGTCTGGTGGCCACACAGACTAGCAGCCCTATCAGTCCAGTATTGACAGGCGCTGCCTTTTATTTAAGAACATAGTAGGAACCAATCATTTTACATTGCTTTAATCCTCATAACAACCTCTGAAGTAGATCTTACTATGTCCGTTTTATGTATTGCAGACCTGAGACTCAGAGACTAAATGACTTGCCCACGGTCACAATTAGAAAGTGGCAAAGCTGCTCTACAGAGCTGGGTCACGCTGACTCAGGTCCATGCTCTTTCCAGAACACCAGACTGTTAAGCAGAGTCAGCCTGCTTGCTGAGAGTTAGGTTTTGGCCCAGAGGACAGTGAGACTGGCCAGGACACCGTGGTAGGGCTGGATTCCCCCTCTGCTCATTTGACTGCAATATCAGGCAGTCTGCTTCATTTTGCTGATGCTTCTCTTCTTCCTGCTTCTAATAATTGTATGCATTTTTTGTGCCCAATATTATTCCAGGAAGAATGTAAGGCAATTTATAGGAAAACATGGAATAAAATAAAAACAAACAAATCAAAAAGAAAATTTAAATATGTAAGCAACAGAGGAAAGATAAAACAAGCCACAGGCACAAATGACTCCTGGAATGAGGCTAAACTAATGCACTCCATAATAATCTATACTCCTGCTATGAGTAAGCCTGAGCAATAATAGCCACTTCCTGAAGCCAGTTGTCCTATTTCCAGACAGATACAATTGTAGGTGCTTTCCTTTAGTTAATAGCCGTGGAGCCTGCTACACAGCAGGTGCTCTATAAATGGCTATTAAGTTGCTAACCATTTATTGAGTGCCCACTCTTCATGCCATGATCCACACACAGGCTACAGCACTCAACCCCTCACCAACACACACACACACACACACACACACACACACACACACACACACACACACAGAGGAAAGAAGGTTACAGCACTTCCAGGTAAGCCTGGGATCTGCTATTTACCCAGGACCCTTCTGTAAACAATGTGAAGCACTGCTCCCTGGAAGGGCACCCTGCTCCTCCGAGGCATGCCTCAGTGAGGGGCAGCCCACAGCTCTGTACACACCACACAGCTGAGCCTCTCACAGAACCACTGGCAGCAGTAAGCTGGCAACCTGAGGTCAACCTGTGTTCCCCCTAATTACATACCCATCCTCCCAGGTGGTAGAGGTAGAATGCTTCCCGCCCAGAGGGACTGCAATATCCAGACAGATGATGATAGTTCAGGAGGCCAGCAGCACCCACTGGGGACATTTATTTAGCCATAGAGCAATAACCTTCTCATGAAAGCACAGAGCAATAGATCACTTTTTGTCAGAATAACAAGGAAACTGGAACAGCCACTTTGTTTATGGGTAGAGACCACAAAGTCTCTATGGGGAGACATTTTGAATACAGCCTTATGGCCAGCAAGCTGATATTTAATGCACAGGCCAGTCCCAGGAAAAGCCTGCTCTTTAGCGACCCCACACCCCCACATGGGTCCTGGTCCGCTGTCCTCTGGAGGCACACAAAGGGCATCAGATTCCTTCTGCACCCAACCAGCCTTATAATACTGAAGGTGAGCAGATGCTGTCTCCCCACCCATCTCCTCCTCTAGACTGAGTATTCTCAGGTTCCGCCTCTGACCTAGTTTGAGCCCCAGCTACTCTGACTCCATTGGATGACCCAGATGAGAACCAAGCTCTCTTCTCCCTCCAATGTGTCAACATTCAGTTTAGCAGACCTTCCAGAAATCTCTGAGCAGTGTGAGCGCACAGAGACCCTAAGCTTCCCTCACTGGGGACCTGGGCTTCTGTGAGCGCTGTCTTGGGCCACGTGAGCTGTCTCGGTGGTGCTGTTCATTGTCCCCACGAGCTCTCTTCCCATCTGCTCGAGAGAGATGCTCACAGGTTGATGGTCTATGGAATGTCCCAAGCCTCAGAAAACCAACTTGGGGTAGACCTCAAGAACAGCGATGTATCACACATCCTGGATGGAAGCCATCCTTCCTCACGCCTTTAATCTGATCCACTGATAAATCACTGCTCCTCCTTTTCCCTTGTCATCATCCCTCTCTGCTCTAGAGAGCACAAGGAGACATGGAATATATACTTGATTAAATTCTAGAGAAAACCTAAAAGCCTTATTTACCTTAATTAGCTCTACCCTTTTCCCCAGTTTTGCAAAAAGCCCCTGGATGAATGGATTTGTTTCAGGGCCTCCTGGCCTTTCCCATATGGGGTTTGGGCTCAGGACTCAGAAGGATGAGGGTAGGGCTTGGAGGTCCCACAGCGCTGGGGCACAGGGGACCTGCAGCCTCCTCCCAACTCTGCCAACAGCTGGCCGAGTGAGCCTCGGAGCAGGTCACCCTCTCTGGGCTTTGTGTTAAATGGATGTTCTCTAACAACTCTAGCCCCTGGAAACGGATGACTGTAAGTGCTGAGCACATGCACTAATCAGGCAGCTGGGGCTGCCGCTAAGCCTGGGCACCATAAGAGACTTTTCACTCAAACACTTCTGCCACATTTTGGATTTTGGCAGACCAAGGTAGAGCCTGTCCTTGGGATTTCCTTTCTGGGCTCTGTAGTTCTGCCCCCTTCACCCACCAGGATGTCACCTCACACATGTGTGTCTGTGGAGGGCCCAACACTTAGGCATCCTTGGGAATAGGAGCCTGTGCTGGCAGGCTGGCTGTTGGGGAAAGCCACTGAGCTGACCCGTGCACTTCACTTCCAACCTGTCTGGGAGGCCACGAAAGCTGGTCAAGGACTAAGGTAAGCTTCTGGGCAGAAAACATGGGTAGGATGATGACAGATCTTTTTTTTCAAAGAGGCCAGCCGGGTCTCCAGACTAAGCACCTGGAAACTTGATCATGCCCAGGATCCAGAGAAGATCAGGCTCAAGGGATGGACTCACACCAGCAAATCACGTGGGAAGCTACACAGGCCAATGCAAACTAGGCCCCCTGTATTCATTTCTGCTGGTCAGGATCCATGTGCCTCCGCTTAGTCTCTGCACTTGGACCCAACACACCTACATTTGCTCATATTAATTACCAGGCAGCTGATCTGGGAAGGAAGGGGAGGAGGCAGGTAATGAGCCGCTGTCCACTCTCCGCAGTCCCTTCCCCACCCAGCAGAGCATCTGCCCCCTCAGCCCATGCGCAGATAACTGTGGAGTCACTCTGCTTCTCTGACCCAACTGTGTTTCAAATCTCCACATTGACTCTTCCCATTTTGCCTTTATCTTAAGAAGTAATTACTGGGCCCTTGCCAAATTCACTCATCATTCATTTAATTTTAAATTACTGGGCCTATCTAGCTAACTCCTACTCATCCTTCCCACCTCAGGAGCACAATCCAAATAGAGCACAAAGGTCTGGTCAGATGCCCTCCTCCATCCCCTAAATACTCTCTCTGTCACCCTCACTGCTGGCCTTGCCTACTCACATCACAGCTCCCACTGAGACTATGCACCTTCGTGGGAAGGGGCCATATTTTCCCTGCTCTTTATCCCAGGACCTGGCGCAGCACCAGGCGGGGTGGGAGGAGGCACCTGCACCAGAACGTAGTCGGTGCTGAGGGGAGTGTGACAAATAAGCGAGTCTGCGCTGGCGCTCATCTTCTAAGAGAAGGTTATCTTCCAAGTCCTGCCTTGCTGACCCTGCCTTACCTCTGTGAGAACAGGTCCCTGTAGGGGCTGCCGTGCTGCAGGGCAATCCCATAGCCCTTGCTGCTGACGCTGTTGCCAATGACAGTCACAGAGCAGTCATCGTCCGTCAAGGCTGCGTACTCCACCACGGCCACGTCCCACAGAAAGGCGTAGTTCCCCTTCTTTGCCTGAAAGATCGAAATTCACATGCAGTCAGGCAGGCCTGGCCTGCTGTGTGAGTTTTGAGCAGTGAGGTATCTCAGTGGTGGGATTTGAATGATGCCTCCTAAATGGTCTTCTGCCCACCAGTCAGCATGGCCAACTCGGCTTCCATTTTTTGGCCGACAAGTTCCACCACTGGTTGATGCCTCTCACTGTGGTGAGGCATAAAAGAATGTGAGGCTATCCCTCCACCAGGAGGCACAGGTCCAGCACACCTCCCAGAGCAGCTACAGATGGGCTTTATGACGAGTCTCCCAGGGGCGTGGACCTATTTCTCAGGTTAGCAGGCTCACCTTGGAGAGTGCAGAGAATCTGACCCCAGGGAGCTGAGCTTTTCTGGTTAGGGATTTAGGGGGAGCATAAAAATATCCACTTAATATTTCTCCTTAGAACCTCACTGGGCCCTGCTGAGAGTGGATGTGGGATGCAGCCCTAAGGCCAGTGCCCTAAGTGACCAGGACAGTATCTGAGTCACGAACTTGCCATGCTTGTGGAAGGGCCCATGAAGGAGAGAGGCCTGGTTGTTTGGGTGTCAGGCTGGGCTTCTGCCAATTGCCTTTCAGTGCCCAAATGAGACTGTGCCCACACACATACACCTGCACAACAACATACACATACACACATACACTTTTATATGCCCATATGCACACCTAGGCATATGCAGACATGCAAATACACATGGATTTCTGTATCAGTGCAATGGCTGCAGATTATTCCATCAGGAATTTGCCTGCAGCCACAGCTGAAGTCTCCACTCCATCACACTCATCCGCAGCCAGCATTCAATCCCATCCTGAGCCACGATGCTGACATGGCATAAAGTCTGGGCACTCAGAAGGAATGAGAGCTGCTTTGCTTTTTGGAAGGAGATGCAAACTAGACATTGTCACTTGGCTGGCTTAAAATAGAGCACAATGTTCTTAATGCAGCAAAGTGCCTGATTTTAATTCTATAGTGAACATACAGATGCCTCTTTTCCTTTTCCTTCCCTCCTACACAACTCACAAGAGGTGCTAGAAGACCTAGGGCTGGGCTTGGTAGAAGGGCTGGACCATCACACACAATAGGGCAAGCTGGCAAGTAACAAGCTTCATGAAATTGTCAAGGGCGTTGCTCCAGTCTCCTGCCTTTATTCACTTGAGTCTTCATGTCCACTGAGACTTTTCAAAGAGTACCATAGCTGTTTAGATGAAAGTAGTCAAGATTTTACAGCCTTCCAGGTCTAAAGTGCACATGGGCCAAAATGACTCATTTTCTCATCAGCTTTCCATCAGAAGCATTTGTGGACAGAGTGGGGCAGACCCCGGCTGGCATAGGCTGCTCCAGCCATTTGCACAATTTTGCCCAACAAACTTGTAAGAAATGACATACCCCTGTGCCACCCATTGACTTGTACCTCAGGAAGCAATCCAAATATTACATCAAAGCCTCCTTCCTTGGCTAAGGCAATTTCCGAAGTCCCTGAAGGACTTTGACCAGGCTGCAAAATTACACTCATCTCTGTCCCTCCACATGGGAAGATAACAGTCTTTGAAGTTTTTTCCTACTGGCAAACAAATTTTCTCATGAAAAGTATAAATTTTCAACCTCTTAGTAACTGAGTTTCTCAGCAAAATGTTGACTTATGACCTAATATTTGGCTTCGGTCTGACTTCGAAGCATTTTACATCCATGCTCACAATTCAACATGACAATCAGATATTGTTATTTGTATGATTTCAAAAGGGCATGTCAAGTTGAAAGAAGAATTAAGATCAGGTTCTTTTCTACCTTTCAAGTGATGTTCCAAGAAGGAAAAAGAAGGAAGCTGGCTCTGATCGAGTGGAAACTGACTAACAAAAGCCTGGTGTGGCCATTTGAATGGGCCACTTGGATGCCTTCAAGCTACATGCGTTTGTGGGTCCAGTTTGGGCTAAGTGACCAGTGAGTGCAGTTGAAAGACAGAAGCTGCCTTTGTAGTCCTTCCAGCCTAAGTGGAGAAGGAGAAACATATGGAAGAGATGCTGGTGCCGCCTCAGCCACAGAGCCCTGCTGACCAGGAAAGCAGTCAAGAAGAGTCTGGGAAAATAGAAGCTGCTTGAGCTGCTGAATGATCCCAGACACTCAATCTGTCCATTTGTAAACAGGGACAAAATTTGCTATTATATTTGTTTATGTCTGCTTCAAGCAGCATGTGGCTGATCCCTAATCTGCAAGACCAGAGCAGGGAGGAGGATCTGCAGAGGCCAGTGCCTACTCACATCACAGCTCCCACTGAGACTGTGCACCTTGCCTGTGAGCCAAATTCGAAGCCCTAGCTGCAGTGGACTCTGTCTTTAGGAAATTCTCTCCATCCCTAACACGCCTTCCTCACCTTCTCAGCATCCCAGACATGTGTGTGCCTGCATCGCTGTAGCACCAAGCAGAAAAAAATGCAGCAACCAATCTTCTCTGGGCATCCCAAGTCCACCTGTTGCCAGGAAAATTTTCTGGACCTTATGAACATCTTCCTAGTCTTCTTGGCTTGTCACAGATGCGGTATGAGACAGACAGCTTCTTAGGTCTGACCGTACCATCAGGAACATTGCACATACCAGCCACAAGAAGCCCAGATGCCCACCTGTGAAGGCCACATCCCTTTACAGACACCCTCTTCTTGCCCCCATGCAAACCGAGTTTCACAACCCCCATGAAAAAAAATTTTTTTTCTAAGATGCAGCTCCTCCCTGAAGGATCAGAACCTGTTTTCCACGTGGCCCCTAATAATTATGAATCTGCCTCCTTATTCTGTGCTGGTTATCCATACAGCCAGGCTCCGCATACACGGGGGACCACAAACACACCAAACTTCCGCCTCCAAGAGGGCTGAGAATCTCCTCTCTTCTCTCCCCACCTACCATGAGCTCATTTTCTTCCTTTTATGAGTCTGAGCATTTCTCCCATTCTGCTCTAAGGTTCAACTGCCTCCCTTGTGGCTTGGTCTCTGATCCATCCTCCAGGTCCACTGCATGGCATTTCTACCCGCTTTCCTACTCTCTCTGTCCCCTCAACTCCCAGTCAGAGACCTCGCATACTTTAAGATATGAGTTACTTCCTATTTATATTAACTGCTCCTTTCTGCTGAGGATTTTTTTCCGGTCTCTTAGGAAGACAGAGTATTGGTGGGAATCTGGCCTCTTCTCCGCTGTGTGCTCACAGAGGGAGAAGGGTGAGCCCACACACCTTTCCGCGGTGCCCGGGGGTTCCTTAGCCAGAGGGACAATGGATCTTTAGAGTTGGCTATTTTGCCATGTCATGTTGATACCAACTCATTCTTCCTATGTCTTCCAGCCCTGGCCTTTCCCCACTTCCCAGGTGGCTGTGAGGAGTGAAGGGGGATGTTAATGAGAGCAGGCATGATAGGCAGTGAGCAGTTTATAAATAGATTCTTGACATTTATTTCATGATGGCTCAAAGATTAAAGTGATACGATAGATTTGTGTTCTGCATTAAGACAAAACAAGAACAATACTGTATTTCACTTCTTTAATGGGTTAAATTACCTTTACTCAGCTGACCATTTATAATGTTAAATGTATTCTGAATTTCTAAACACTGACTTAGGATGCATTAACGCCTTGGACTGTGGCTGCTGGAAAGTTTGTCTCCCTGTTGGACACAGGGCTGGCTGATTCAGACAAGCCTGCTCCAAGCCTTCGGCTCTATGCAGAGCCAAGGCGAGCATACAAGCCTACCCCTCAGGGCTAACTCTGGGGTCCTGGGACTTCTGCCCAGGATTCCTGCAGGAGCTATGGAGAGCATTTGCAGATCCTCTAAGAAAGTGGAGGTTTAAAAGTTCTAATTTGCTACTTAAATGGTATTGCTTTTTTTTTGGTATCACTAATCCACAACCACATGAAGAACATTCTGTCTACTAGACCCCCTATCACCAAGTCCCCTCCCCACACCCGACCACGGTCAGTGTCCATCGGTGCAGCAAGATGCCACAGAACCACCACCCATCCTCTCTGCGCTGCACAGTCCTCCCCGCGTCCCCCCACGCACCATACATGCCAATCATAATGCCCCCTTTCTTTTTTCCCCCCTTATCTCTCCCCTCCCCCTGGCAACTGCTAGTCCACTTCTGGGTTCCGGAAGTCCGCTGCTGCTTTGCTCCCTCAGCTCTTTCCTCATTCTTATACTCCACAGACAAGCAAAGCCATTCGACACCCGTCCCTCCCCACCTGGTCCACCTCACTGAGCATAACACCCTCCAGCTCCACCCATGCTGCTGCAAACGGTAGGACTTGTCCTCTTCTTATGGCCAAACAACATTCCACTGTGTATATGCACTACATCCTCCCCATCCATCCATTCACTGATGGACACCCAGGTCACTTCCACTTCCTGGCCATTACAAAAGTGCTGTGACAAACACAGGGGTGCACATGTCCCTCTCAAACTGAGCCACCACATTCCTAGGGCAAATTCCCAGCAGTGGAATTCCTGGGTCAAATGGTATTTCTATTTTGAGCATTCTGAGGAACCTCCATACTGCTTTCCACAATGGTTGAATTAACTTACATTCCCACCAGCAGTGAGGGAGGGTTCCCCTTTCTCCACAACCTTGCCAACATTTGTTGTTGTTTGTCTTTTGGATGGTGGTGATCCTTACTGGTGTGAGATGATATGTCATTGTGGTTTTTATTTGCATTTCTCTGATGACTAGTGATGTGGAGCATCTTTTCATGTGTCTCTTGGCCATCTGAATTTCTTCTTTGGAGAACTGTCTGTTCAGCCCCTCTGACTATTTTTGAATTAGATTATTTGCTTTTTGTTTGTTGAGATGCGTGAGCTCTTTATATATTTTGGATGTCAACCCTTTATCAGACCTGTCATTTATGAATATATTCTCCCATACTGTAGGATGCCTTTTTGTTCTACTGGTGGTGTCCTTTGCTGTACAAAGCTTTTCAGCTTGAGTCCCACTTGTTCATTTTTGCTTTTG